CGAAGGTAAAAAACTTCATTCTGCTAAGCACCGCCTACTGCCAAATGAAATTCAAGCCCTATCAAGCCCATAATACATGGCTCATGATACTTTTTCTTCAGTTTTTCTTCAAAGCAATCACCAGCTCCAGGGCATGTTTTATAGCTGGGAGGTGGAGTGCAGCAGAAAGAAGACTTTTTATGGTTATCTTGCCATATCCTGATAGCTTGCATATGTCATCGATAGTGACTTTTTCTTCCCTTAGGGCTCAAAAACAACCTTTTTTCACATTTGTAAGTGACTTGTTCATTCTAGCCTGCATTTTTTGTAAGGTTTTGTAGCCTTGCAACAATTAGGTATGAAAAAAGTCAAAGAACAAAATAGGAGCTCTTACATTTATACATTTATATTACTATATGTATAAATGTGTGTGTGTGTGTGTGTGTGTGTGTGTGTGTGTGTGTGTGTGTGTGTGTGTGTGTGTGTGTGTGTGTGTGTGTGTGTGTGGTGTGTGTGTGTGTGTGTGTGTGTGTGTGGTGTGTGTGTGTGTGTGTTTGTGTGTGTGTGGGGGGGGGATGCATGTGTGTGTTTGTGTGTGGTGTGGTGTGTGGGGGTGGTGCGTGCGTGCGTGCTGAAAATTGGCATAGGCAGGATATGCATAAAAGATTCATGACCTATTCCATATGCATTTAGTAAGAAATGAAAATCTACATTGTCTTTGTGTATGATGAAATTGGTTGAATTTTTAGAAGGGGTGTATAAGTAGTGCACCAATTAAAAGTAATAGGCAGTATTGATGATAGATTATAGACTTACATTTGTCTATAACAGATAAAAGTATGACTACAGTTTTGTTTATGACACCTCACAAAAATATCTCTTAACAATCAATTTTTTTCTGTGGCTCTGAGGAAGCCTAAGACAGGTCTGGTGTCCCATGCTCTTAAGAATTCCCTTTTATTTCTCGTTATGAGATGTGAACATCAAAAATTTGATTTTATGTTTGTTGAAGATAACTTTTCATCAGAAATGATTTGGAGTACTTGAATGCCACCTTTTTATTTATTGTCAGATATTTCCTGCATGATTAGAGCAGTCTTTGCAGATTAATACAAATGGTGTAGCATGTGTCTTCTCAGCTGATGCACTGACAACAAATGCAGATGGTGCAATGTGTTCATAGGAAAGGTATTAGAGTAAAATTATAAGTCTTTATGTAGGTGAGATTCATTGTTCTTTACTACACTGAATTATCATCATAGGGTCTATTCACATGTAAATGTTAGTTCTAGTTTTGTTCACTTTGAAATGCTGCACCTGTGTGAATTTAAGATGAAATCACTATGGACAACCTTTGGACTGAGTCACGTAGCATCTTTTCTGCAGTTTTACAGGGTGTTTTGTTGGAGTAACAAAGGGATATCATGTTTGGAGATTAAGCAGTAGGGGATGGAGTTATATATAAAATTCTACATCATGTGGATAGAGCATGGAGTGTGGTATTAATCTGTTGGTTACTTGACTTACTTGAGTAGCAACTCTCTAGTTGGATGGTTTGCTTTTACAATGACTTTATGTTTCTTTAATATTTCTTTACTCTCTTATTAAATCATATTTCTTATGAAATGCATTTTAACTTTTGAAAATCTTTTGGTTTGAAAGAATTGCTATCAACTGTCTGTATCAGCTCTCCACTTGAAAAAGGGAAGGTTGTAATATTATGGGTATGATTACAGGTAAAAGTGTGTGGGGAAAAGTTGGCTATAGACAAATTGTACGACAATCTTGGAGTCATTGAATGCTTCTAGGACAATCTAATTAGATTTATCAGAAAAAAAACTCCATTATCTTTCATGTAGTTAAGTTTATAAGGTATAGAACAATCATGTTTATTTGATAGGCTTCTTACTAGACTGATTGAAAAAAGTAAATCTACAGTAACATGTTTTTGGGAGTATGATTGTAATTGTTTTAAATGGGTTCTGATACATAGTTTATCATGGGCAACAAAGCCTACAATGGTTCTTATCTCTTTTCCTTAAGCTGGAGTATCTGTTTGTAGGGGCTGTGGATCCAGGAATATTTATAATAGTACTTTTCAATTTGGTCTTCTTCTAAAGACATCGTAAAGATTCATTGTAATTCATAATATCCCTTTTTTGGGAACCCATGTAGACAAAGGGTTAGAGATTGTTTTCATAATCAGTAAAAGGATTTTAGATGTGAAAAAGTTTAAAGTCTTAGATGAGTTAATACGATTTAAGTTGATGCTCAGGAAATCTAGATTAGGTAGATATTCAAAGATGCAAAATTCCTATCAATTAACATACCCAAAAACAGTTTCTGCCATATCCCTCAAAAGCAACCTCCTTACCCTTTCTTTTCCATCCAGCACGACCAAGCATGACAGAGACCACAGCCCTGGGAGCAGCCATGGCTGCAGGGGCTGCTGAGGGCATTGCCATTTGGGACCTGACCAAACTCACGCCTCTCACCACAGATGACTTTACTCCGTCTATATTGCCTGAGGGTGAGTGGAGCTTATTCTGCAGTGGTGTGGCTTTTGAATATATGTATATATAAATGATATATAAATGATATATAAATGATATATAAATGATATATAGATTATATATAGATTATATATAGATTATATATAGATTATATATAGATGTAAATTATATATAAATTATATATAAATTATATAATATTATATATATATATATATATATATATATAATATATATATATATATATATATATATATATATATAATATATATATATATATATATATATATATATATATATATATATATATGTATATATATATATTTGTATATATATTATGTATATATATATATATATATATATACATATATACATATATACATATATATATATATACTATATATACATATATATATATATATATATATATATATATATATATATATATATATATATATATATATATATATATACTCATACTACTATATACAAATATATACTATACACACACGTACACACACACAGCGACACATAATATATTAGAATACCATTATATACTGATACCAGATATAATCTATCATCACTAAGAATAATATACTATATAAGATAACTACTATTATACATACATAATATACTATAATGATACCTATCTATCCATATATCACCACTAAATGGACTACTATATATAGTCAAGTATACTAAGTACTGTATATGTAATATAATATACATGCATATATATATAATATAAAATATATATATACTATACTGTATGGATATTAATACTAGCCTATCATGACCATTGCATATATATTATATTAAATATATAATAATATATACACAATATATTATTCATAATATATATCTATTATACACTAACTCCCCTAACCAGAACTCCCCACAAAAACCCAGACTCCCACACACCGCCATCCAGTAACTTACAATCCAATCCCACACCCAAATACTTCAATCATAAAGACACCAACATGACTAAGAACCCTACCAAACATCACCTACTAAACAACAAAATCATTACTAAGACTCACCACCCGCAAACTCCTTAATAACGCCACCCAGCCTTCCTCACTCAAACACCACCTCAACCCACCCTACCAGCCCCAATAACACCACAGCCACTTCAAACAAACAATACCAACCCCACCACTGACCGCCCTATCAGCCCCTATTCATCCTCAAGAACTACTAACAATCCCCACCACCTTACTAAGCTCATACCTATATATACACAAACAACACATATATACATAATATATATATATATATATATATAACTACAGTATAATATTATACCCACCACACATGCCCCACCGTATATATATCCTATATGATATATATAATATATTAGTATCACTATAATATTATAATGTAGGTCTCATATAGTGATATATAGTATCACGTAAAATCCATACTATACCATACCAACCAATACATACACTACATAAACATACATTACATACATACATACCATACATACCATACCATACATAACAACAATACATACCATACATGAGTACATTACATACATACATAGAATTACATATGTACAATACATTACATACATACATTATATAAAAACTTGTATATATTTATATATATGCGAATATATAGTAGCTAGGTCGGACGGCTATCGAATGTATATATTAAAATGTATATATACTGCAATGTATCACATAAATGAATATATATTATATATGAATATATATTAATAATATATGTATAAATAATATATAATATGATATATGTATATTATATTATATATATATGATAATACTATAATATATATATATACTATATATATTATATATATATAACTGTATATGTAATATATATATGTATACCTATACTATGTATATAATATATATACATATAATACTATATACTAATATTATGGTAGATTGTATACACATTGTATATGTATACTGCTGCTAGATTGTATAAGTGTATATGTATAACTATAATATATATATATACTATATATATATGGTATGTATTGTATATATATATATGTATTATATTGTATATATATATATGAATATATAATAAATATATATAATATATATAAATATTACTAGATATATATGAAAATGTATAAATATAGTACTAGTACAATATCACTATATATATATATAAATATATACATTATAAATATGTAAATATATATATATTATATATACTACTATTATATATAAAGATAAATATATATCAATAATATAAATAATATACTGACTGATAACCTATACCATATATTAATAATTATCACCTATACTCATATAGTATATATATATATCAGTATATATATATAGGGACACACAACCACACCACACATCACGACAACGCGCACAACACACTTACACCCAGCACGCGAGCAGCACACGCACCACACACAAACACCCAACCAACGCATCACAAAGACACTCAGCAGCGCACACACAACACCACACACTACACACCACCACAACACAGCACACACAGCACGAGCAACCAGCACGACACCACACAACACACAACCCACAGACTAATCCCCCACCACACACACACACCGAACTACACACACACACACACACATACACACCACCATACAGCAGCACTACACACTACACACACCTACCCACACCAGTATCACACACAAGCAAACAACAATACACAAATGCACACAAACAAACAATGCACACAAATCACACATGGCACACAAACCACATAGCACATTAAAACACACATGACCACACAAACACACAGCAAGCACAACACACATGCACACAAACACACCATGTACATCAGACCTAATACATGTAACAAACACAGCATGTATCACAAACAACACCATTCACACTAGACATCACATGTAACAACTAAGACAACATGCACACTATGAACATATGCCACCTAAAGACACATGCAGCAACTAATGACACATGCCACACTAAGACATCCATGCAACTACTAAGACAATCTGCACACTAGAACAGTAAGCACCATTAAACATAACGACAACATAAATACATACAGCAAGACTAGCCCGAACAGGGGATAGACGCGCGCCACAAAGGCTCCATAGAGGCGCACCCGTGAAAATATGCAGTGTAGTGGAGTTTATTTTGAGCTCAAAGACAATCTAACGTAGATCAGCATGAATAATCCAAAATATTATAACATAAGAGTGCTCGCATATTATAATAAAAGACAATGTTGCATACGTCAGTCTTATACATGATTAACACCAAGATATTAAGAAAATGTGAGATATCCATATAATGAGAATATAGGATGTTCTGCACTAAAAAACGATAGTAGACAAACTAGAGAGCCCACAAGACCATTCGTTGCCTACTAGATATATACTCAAAACCAGCTGGCGCCGAATGGACGATGACACTGACGGAATACGTACCTGCAAAGCAACATGACCACAAACACAACATACAACACATAACCACACTACACAAGCAATACACCACAAAACCACGACACCATATTACACAACACAAAACACAACATAATCACAACACTTACGATCAGACATCACCGCATCACCAAACACAACAAGTACTGATCATATTTCACTACGCTGTAAGTAGTATATTGTTACACATATATAAAGGATTACTTCAGCATATCCACATGGCATTCTAGGCAGTCATATTATACCTACCTGTCTCATGCAGAACACAAAAATCACGCAATATACCTCATCATTCTTCGTTCAATAATAAAATTCATATAAGGAGACATGTCACTAACATAAACATATCTTTACTATCACGAGTAGCATGACGGCGAGAACCTGAGGTTGGTCCGCCACTAGATCACAGACAAAGAGTGGGATGCTATCCGCGCAACGATGAACGTATAGCGTGTACTTTTTGGGGGATGGAAGCACCCGCCTGGTAGTAAGACAGCACTGAGACAGGTGTCAGGATGTACAGCATAGATTCAGTAATCGCGTCGGTATCTCTTTTCGGCATGCCACCGCTCGGCTGATTCTGAACGAGAGAGTCTCTACTGCTAGTCAATATTGCAAGGACTCAGCTATGAAAAGAGAGAGGTCCCTTCGCAGAATGCAGTCTCAATATGCCTACTTATACTGTGTCTTATCGTGCTCTATTAGTTGAAGTCGTATCAGTCAAGTATGTTTACTCGAGTAGAAGGTCGACTTCTCCAAATCTAAAGAGCGTAATATTGTGCTTTTACTTCCACACACACATACAATATGCGCCTCTGATTAGTTAACTAAGACACTTTCATATATTATTACCTCTGTTTCACATATATTTATCTCACATATTGTTTGCTATTTATATAACCCAACTCAATTGGGAAATCACAAGCTCGATTCCTGTCATGCGTAGCAACAAGATGTCAGATCTACTGCGATGCAATCGCTATAATTAACATAATCGATCCATTGTGTCCTATTATTCCTTATTTAGGCTGAGATGATTGCGCTTGCACAACGTCTAGGCAATTGGTCAGTCATTATTCAGATACTTCTGTGCATGTGGTGTAAATTCAGTGACAGCACCGCGTCCATTTAACAAGCGTTTTACTAGAATTATTGTAACATCACGTTCATGAATTCGGGCTTACAGCAACACATTGTCAGTGCTATTGGAAGGATTTATTCTGATATTATATATTCACAGAGAAAACGATATTGAGAGATATAGAGCTCTGGCTCGTAATAAGTCGAGTAGTAGTATATGTTCTCAATCAGTATATAAGATAGATTATATTTTGGTTGCTGATCTTTTATAACTTTCAAGAGATGAAACGCGCCATGACAACTATCATCTCTCTTTATACAACATGAGAAGTGATATACTCATTGTTCTGTCACGAGACTCCATTGATAGTTCATGGTAAATACATTAAGGATTGATTGTCTGCACACTATGATAGACTTATTATTGACACTCCAGAGTCTTTATATTTATGGTGTAGCTCATTAATCAAATGAATTGAAATGAATTGGGTGAAATTATGATGTGGTGTATTATTTTTCCATATATAATATATACATAAACCATACCATACATAAATCATTACACATACTATAGACCAAACCACATAAACAGATATACACTCAGAAAACTATACATAAAATAATCACAGTTAAATTCAATAATATGAATAAATAATAAAAACACAATCAAACTAATTATAAATTACTCCAATAAAACATATAATATAGTATAATATCTATAACAAACCCAAGAATCACACAAAATAACAATCAGAAATATATACTCTATCTAAAACCTATATACTTTATCGGATATAACTATATAGTAATAATCTAATATATAAAATACCACATAAATAAAACAATCAACCTTACAATAAGTTACTATAAACATGAAATATATATATATATAATTATATTATACATATATATATAATAGTATATATATATATATATATTTAGTATCCTAATATATAGTGTCTCCATATACTATATATATACTAGTACTTATATATATATAGTTATGTTTTATTATAAATATAATAGATTATATACGATATATAATATACATAATATATATATAAATATATAATATATATAATATATATAATATATTTATAATAGTATATAGGAATAGTAATATATAGAGAGATAATGTAGAATATAAGTAAGAGGATTAGTAGATTTAGTATAAGAAAGTATAATATATATATATAATTATATATAGATATATATAATGAATATATAATAATATATAATATAAGAGATTTAATAAGTATATATAAATATAGTATTAATTATATAATATAGTATAATATAAATAATATAGTTAGATATTATAATAGTAGTAATATATAGTATATATTATTACTATATATATATAGTATATAGATATATAGTATAATATATATTATAGTATGTTACGTATAGCAACATAATCAGCATATATTATATATCATGCACACACTACAGTATTAGTGAAGGTGAGGTGTGTGGATTCGTTTACCTTTACAATTTTACTTATATTACGATAATAGGCTACATATTCTTATAGCCATGATGTGTAAGAGAAAAATAGCATAA